AAAAAGAAACAAATTAGCAAATGGAAGATTTAAGTGAATAATATAGTAAGAAGAATACTTGAATGCCAAAAGAATTACTTAAAAAAGAATCCTGAATTCCTAAAATGAGTTGCAGATTGAATTCCTGGGTGAGCAGCAATGTGATACACCTAAATGCATAATACTGTGCCTTCACCTGCTCATTTATCAACCCAATAAAAGATCCTTCATTACTTTAAAATATTGTCAGCAACAATATATTGTTGTTAATTTACAATGTAAACAATCTACAAGGACGCATAAAGATTCTAAATTTCATTTTAAATAGTTTATATGGATGTGAATTCAAGCTGTCGTCATAATTTCTCATCATTTACATCCAATAATTCTGATACACATTAAAGAGTAGAAAGGATGCTCCCTGAATTATTATTCAATTGTTGACATAAATGATTTACAAAGTCACTCAAGAGCCTGACGAAGCAAGAAAAACTATCGGCTTTGGTATTTGCCTGCATAATATAAAAATTCAATAAATGATAGTCCAACATCCGTCATTTCTACATTCTCAACTAATTTATTAATTCATAACTTAAAATTCTAAACAATATATCCCATTTTAAAAGGAAATTTATAAACATATTAGACATAAAAATAAGAGTAAAAGTGATTACTTAACAAAAAACTGACTGTGTAGGAGTCTTACAACATTCTTCTCGTAGACTGTGTAGGTGCTAATTAACAGCACACCAAAAAATATATGAACGCAATGAAAGCCAACTATGATCATAGACTATGTAGGAGTCTTACAACATTCTTCTCATCAATATCAATGCAAAACATGTAGTATATTGGTGCATTTTTTGAATGTAACATGTAAAACGTAAACTCTAAATTCAAAATCCTAAACTCTTTAAACCATAAACCTTAAATTTTAAACCATAAATCATATATATGATTTAATATATATAAATCAACGCAAATATTTTTACAATGTATAATATTCCAACCAATGATATAATATGTTCTTGCATAATTTGATCATTTTATATAATATGAATACAATGTACGACTTTGGTAATTTAGAGTTTGATTTCATAATCAAGTAAAAAAAACTTCAATGCCCTAAACTCTTTTATAATAGAAATATATGATTTCAAAATCTATTAATATAGATAATATATATTATTAATATATAATTAATTCCATGTAAATAAATAAAAGAGCCATCTAAAAATCATATGGATTTATTATATTACATCTACATGATTTATATTATGTACATGCCTACGAAGTTTAGTTATCTAAAAGGAAAAGGTTTTTTATTGCATCGACGAAGTTTAGTTCATCACCTGTTCTCATTCACTTCCCTCCCTCCATTGATCTTTTTCGGTTATCCACGGCTTCTCTGCCATTTTCTCTCGGTCTTCTCCCTCAACAATCGAGACACAAGAACTGTCCTTCTCTACCTCCACATTGCCTCTCACCACCGCGCCACCGTGCTTCTCTCATCGCCATAACCACCGCCTGCTTCAGCTCCCTCTCTGCCTGTGCGGTTCCTCTACTAAATCTTGCTTTAGAGCTTCTTCCCTCATATCCAGCACTCTCTCGCCAGTCATGACCCGAAACCAACAGTTTGACTACTGACCCTTGCCGGAAAATACTCAGAAGCTGTGATACTCAACTCCTCTCTGTCTCCCTTTCTCTGCTGTTTACCCTCTCCTCGAACATCTCAAATTGGATTCGTTATCCTTTTACTATTGCCACCGCCTTCGCATAACTTATTGCCACCTCCACTACGACCTTGTGGTCTTCATCGCTCTCCAGTCTCCAAAATCCCAATTTTCCCGCCACGAAGGATCAACCCCTCCAGAGTTGGTGTTTTGCATGAAAGCTCAAGCACGAGCGACCCTGTTATAGGTAATCTTTGGCTTTTCCCTTCTCAATTTCAGCTGATGTTTTCACTGTGAATCTCTTTTGGTTGGATTTGTTATTTTCGTAGTGTTTGTGTTTTTCCCTTTTTTTCCCCCCTTTTGTAAGGGATGCTCTCTGATACGTTTTCTCTTTGATACTGATGTTGAAGTCACTGTGCTATCTTGTGTGAGTGTGCATGTTCATGATTTTTGAGAGAGCAGCAGATGAGGTTTCTTCGGAAAATTAAGGCTGTGTGCAGTAAATTGATTTGGGTCATAATGGGGACCGTTGATATCCCATTTCTGGTGATAAAATATGTGGATGTTCAATGGACATATGTACATTGAGTTTTTGCTGTGAAAGTTCAATTCTGCTTGTTGTTGTTATAATTGTCCTTCCACTTAAGTCACATTCATATTGCGTGCGACCTACTTGAGAAAAAGTCTTTTCGAGAAAGCAAAAGCCACCTTGTTATTGGCTTGTTATTTTCTGGTTCTAATGATAAATGGTATTAACTAACTTCTGTTTTCTTTACAAATTAGTGCCTGTAATATTATCTTGAGTTGATTGTGGATTTGGGTCGCAAATTGTAAATATTATGAACCTTTTATTGTTATTTAAAAAAATGATTACGAATACTTTATTGTCTTTCAGTTTTTGTTTTTCTTCATGGCTCCTGAGTTATATGAGTTATATTTCACTGGAAAAAATGGATTTAATGGTTGTTTAGCATGCTGTAGGACTTTATATGTTAAATTAATTTTTAGTCTCTTTCTTATGTTTTCTGATTTATTTTTCGTTCCTTTGGACCAATGGTGAGAAAATTTTGAAATATGGACTTCTCAGAGCTGAAAAATATAGAGCCTCAGATGTTCTTATAATGTTCCTAAATCTGACATACAAAATTCTTTGACCTCCTCTTAGTTTTTGTTTATTTTTTCTTTTGACATTTGTTGTGATATTCCTTGAGAAAGTCAACTGGGATAGGAATAGGAGAAGGTAGAACTAAACTGATGCTGGTGCATAAGAAATGCTTCAAGGATGACAGTAATGGGTAGGGAGGTCTTAAAATTTTAAAATATTTATTCTCGTATTTTTTGTTTGGATGTGTTTAATTTTCTAGTTCCTTAGATATAATTTGTAAATCTTGATTTGTCTTTTTTTTTTTTTAGTTGGCAGTCACCTAGTAGACTTTGAATATATACACAAGGAAATGTGCACATTACGTAGGAAACAATTAGATAGGTGCCTGACCTTTTCATTCCATTTTAAATTTCTCTTATCCAAACTCTTATTTTCTTAGTGTATACTGGTGCTCAACCTCTTTTGATCTGGGTTAATGGAGACTGTTATTCTTGTCTTGATTTTCCATTACAGTAAATAAAAACCTTTAAAGGCAATTAGTAGAGACACATTATAATTCCTTGTGATTCTG